TCCAGTACTTTTGCCACCTCATGAGAAGAGTTAACTCTTTGGAGAAGAGCCTGATGCTGGGAGGGATTGCAGGCAGGAGGAGAAGGGGACAACAGAGGATGATACGGCTGGTGGCATCACTGGCATGAGTTTGAGTAAACTCTGTGAGTTGGTGATGGACAGGGAGGCCTGGCATGCTGTGCTTCATGGAGTTGCAAACAGTTGGATTCAACTGAGTGACTGAACTGAACTGAACTGAACAGAAGCAATATCTGTAATGAAACAATCAGGGCTATGGGAAAGCCAAGTTTGCCATCTGCATTTTTGGAGTTCCCTGACAAACCTCATTTTTATTTGATGTGATAAAGCCATCCCTGGCTGCAGGGTTGATGCCCTCACAGTGAAAAATGTTAATGTTTTACTGAACATTACATCCTAGTTTGTTATCACCTCTGAGATATTTCCTTGTTGTTATGTTATATTGTTAAAATTTTATATAAGTTGTTAAAAGGACCTCCTTTGTTTTTAAAGCTGACATCAGTAATCAGTATTTGGATAAAGATCGATGCTCTATGACATACAACCAGGAGATTAACACCTGGATATATTCACTTAACTAAGTCAGATGACCTGGGGCATACTGGGCTATACCTAATGAAAGCTCCCGTCTTAAATTCTTTTGACCTTATTTTCTCCCTAGATTATTTTATATATTGTCTGTTTCACAAAATTGCTGTGTCTTACATTATCAAGTACATGACACAGTCACTGATAAAATAGTGATGTATATAATTCCATATGAGATCAATGATTGTAATTATGTAACTCTAGATATGGTAAGAAACAACAAGAGGGAAGACTTTCTTGCACCAAGAGGCTAACAAGACAGAAATGGACTGGAGATTTTTGCTATTCACAGAGCCTAGTCAAATAGCATCACACTGATTGACATACCAATGAAAACTTCACTGGGCCTGGAAATGAGCCCTACCCACATCATGGGACGCAACGGACATGAAACACCCTGAACGCATGGTAAAATCTTTGGCTAGGAAGGGGTCCTGCTGGCTGGAAACTGGCACTTACAAGCTGTCTCTGCAAAGATTAAATCATGGCTACTTAGTGAGTTCAACATATCTTGAAAGGAATTCGGGTGGATATAAGAAATTAGATACTTGATCTGTGCTCTGAGAAAAAAACGACGAAACAAGTATTCAGAATGACAGATGTTTTCTGGCAAAGTTTTTTTTTTTTTTTTCCTTTTCTCTCTCTCTTGGTGGAATAAGATGGCTGAAGATGGCTGAAGAGTTGGTGGACATGCAGGACATCACGCTCTATGGATGCATCAGGAATATACCTTCAGACACAGATGTGCTTGGAGAACATCAGCTGAGAGTGAGCATGAGTACCTGAACACCAGAGAAGAAAATATAGATCCACGCAAATTTCTGTAGGATGAAGGAAATAGGGGGGAAAGCAGGAGTGTTAGTAGCAACGAACCTATCCTCAACAAATGAAGAAACTGAAGAAGGGGTTCAAACCCCACATTGGGGGGGGGGATCCTTATCTGGATCAAAGGAGAAACATTTGAGTTTGTGAGTGAAGCAGTTGATCTTTGAAAGCCTAAATGAAATGATAATCAGACAATCCTTGCTGCACCATACATACCACAGACCATTGCAGGTTCCCTAGACGGTGCAACGGCTGGAAGCTGGAGCAGAGGGATTGTGGAGCAAACCCAGGGCATGGGCTGCTGTGGACTGTTGGGAGATGAATGGAGGGGACGTGAGGGAGGATTGTGGGAAGTGTCTTTGGAAGAAAGCCATGCAGCCATGAAAGCTAGGTGCCGGTACCGAATCATGTATAGTGGGTGGAGCCATCACCGTCGTCTCTCTCTCCCCACCTGTCAGCACTGGCAGCTGAACAATATAGAGGCTGCCCATCAAGCACCTGACACATGGAAGAACAGAGTAGGATCCCAGCCTAGGTGTTCCTTTACATGCCTGACATGCCAAACAGCAGAAAAGACCCCAGTTGGGGTGGGGGGCACAACTTGTGCCTGATGTGGTAAACAAGAGAGGAGGGCCAAGCGAGGCAACGTTCTACTGTGTATAATGGGAAGAGTAACATGGAAAAACTAGACAAAGAGGCTTCCTGATTGCCAGCTGCCAGAGCCTTGGAAAAAGAATCTGATGGGGCATAATTTCTGCAGGAAGCAGTCTGTATCCCTGCACACTTGCTCTCATCCAGGCCTGATGCAGTGATAAAAGTGAAAGGAGCTGAGACATGGAACAATATAAAAAGGAGGCATGGAAGGTCCCCAGATATGGGGTGGATGGTTGACCTATCTTTGCCGTGCCCCTGTCCAGGACAGGAATGAGGGAAGAATGGCCAGAGATAACTCTGGACCAGGGCTGCACAAATCTGGATTTAGATCAAAATTAAATCAACAGATAAACACAATTATAATTTCTGCTGTGTTTTCTTGTGTTGGGGTTGTAAGGTGTGAGGATTCACCCAGAGCAACTCAGATGGGGTGGGGATTTGAAACCACTGCTTGTGGACCGCTCAGTCTGTGGGGAAATGTGCCAGTCTGTGGGGAAATGTGCCAGTCTGTGGAAATGGCTACAGTAGGACCCAGGATGGTGAGGACACTAAGGTCCTGAAGAGAGGGCAGAGACCCGAAGGAGGAACAGGCACAGAGAGCCTGCTGCACTGGAGACTTGTTCCACACACCTGAGAAGGATACCCGGGAAGGTCCTGGGCCAGTGCTGCCCAGGATCAGCCCATCAGGCAGCATGCTCCCTTCCCAAGGGAGGCACACAATGGCATGATGCGACACAAAATGTGAGATGGGCTAAGGTAGGCTGTCCATGTGAAAACCCAGGCATCCTAGCAGAGACAGGGGGTGAGTGTGGAATGCCTCCAGGCACTTGGCAACCTCCCTGGCAGTCCAGAAAGGTGAGAAAGTGCAGGTGTAGGGTGTACATGTGTGCCCCTCTGCCAGCATGTGCCTGTGAGGGAGGGAACAGGGAGGAAGCAAGGATGGTGGGCTGGCTGCTTGTCCTAAGGGACCTTGGGGCAGTAGGAGACAGGGAAGGCCCTGGGGTCAGTTCAGAGCCTGCTGGTATTCATTTCCAGGGACTAGGTATTAGTGGTCCTTCTGAACATGCCCCACTGCTCAGCCTGATAGTCGTCACGTGAATTCTTGGGTCTCATCCTTGGCAGTGTGTATGACTTGAATGATTCACGAGTTGATCTACATGGAGGCCAAGGAGCAGGGAAGTTTTTCTTTTCAGTGCATAGCTCCTTTCTACATGTAGATGCTTCAATTTACAAAAAAAAAAATGAAGCATTAAGTTAATCAGTAGCGGTAGCCTCAGTTCAAGTGCTACACAGCCACACGAGGTTTAAGGGTTACAGTGCTGAGCAACAGAACTATTTGTCTGGACAGTCCCACAATGCTGTGCTAGAGGATCTGAACCTATGAGAGTGGAAAAAAGAGAAGAATACAGTTTCTAGGCAACCTTCGAACACTAGGATGATGGAAACAGTGGACAAATGTTAGTGTCTTCAGGGATGTAGAGCAACAATGATGTAAAAGCACCTATCCCGGAGAAACTTCTTGTTTTAAGCTTGGCAACTAGCACTGCCCTTCAGTAAGACACCAGAGGTAAAGAAATGCTGTTCCTTGTGTCCGAGGTTTTCTGGGAACTAAAAGAATGTATGGAAGAACTGAGGTCACCCAGCAGATTAACTGGGCCTGTGTGGTCCTGAAGAGTCAAGGACATACACAGTGTCTGGCCTGCAGATGGCCCAGACAGTAGCCCGGATTTGGACAGGCCTGCCTGGTTTATGGACTGGCTGAGCTAGTTGCAATACCCAGGTCTGAGTGGAAGAATAAGCGATATTTCCAAGTGGTGTGTAAGAACAAGGGTCCTACATATCTGGGTGACATACAGAGGGTATGAGTAGTTACCTTTAAGTACCCAAGCTGGTACCAGAGGGTAAGGAAGGGACACGGTGGCAGGTGAAAACACTCATTTCTTCAGCCATCTGGACAGTGTGCCTGGTATGCTTGACAGTGCTTGTGTGGCCACTGTTGGTACTCTCACTGCTGACCTATGAGAAAAAGTCCTTTACATCTTCCCAGTCTGCTGACATTCAAGGGAAAAAAAGGGAGACCGACAGATGAGGGAAGCAGGGTACAGCACAAAGGGACATTTCTTGTCTGGTCGATAATTTCCTCCTAAGTGTACGAGACATCTTAAGTACATTAAACAGTTGAGCAGAGCTTAAGATGAGGCTCCCGCACAGGTAAAAAGCATGATTATAAACCATCCTGAGTGCAAGTAAGCTAGAAGACGACCAAGCTCTGTATATTCTCACTGAAAAAAAAAAAGTATCATGTGCACTACTACTTGCAGCACTTATAGGTATTAATAAAATCTTTTTATTCTTCCAAACAACTCTTCACCCGATCATTCAAGAGATGAAACAAAGAATATTCACCCTGGCAAGATTTAGAATTCAGACCCATAATCCAGACCCAGAGTCTACCACCTTGAAAACTGTTATGGCAAGATACTTGTGGGAAGGGAAGGGAGTAGAACTTCAACCAGATTTAATGTTAACGGGTAAGACTAGATATGCTCTACATCCAACCTAGAAATGTCTCTGTTTCTCTGTAAGCAGAGGACAGGAGGAAAATGGACCAAGGCAAGCATCTGGCAGAACAACTGGATGTAATCTTATCTGATAACCTTGAATTTGGGAGAAATTCCACACTGGTGCAGTGTGGAGCTTTCTGGATTAATATGTGAACCTGCTCCTTCCGAAGACAATTAGGTTCAGGCCTCTGACAAAGGTAGGATAGAACACACTTGGATGAACTCCTGTTTATTAAGAATCCCAACACTACACATAGCAAGCAGCAACAAGAAGTTCTCAAAAGGACATAAGGCTCAGCTTATGCCAGAAAGTTGAGCTGACTGAAAACATGGAAGAGGAACATAAAGGAATTAGTGAATGGTGTATTGTACATAAGGAACCTCCACATCTTTGCCATCCTCATCATTGCAGCGCAGCTCAAGCAACAATGCTTGCACGTGGTGTCCCAGCTTTCGCTTTGATACTCGACTCACAATTTCTGTCATCCTAGTATGAGGAATAACAGGGTCAGGTAAGTGGAAAAAGAGGAAACGTCATAAAGGGGCAAATAACTGAGGAAAACAGTAAACATGAGTTGCATAGATAGCTGATGCTTCCTAGCCGAGACAGGACGAGAATCTTTCTCCCTGCCCAGTGGGCCCAACTCACGATTGATTCATCCGTTCCTTCAGCTTGCTGGGTGGCATGAAAAAGGAGTAGAGCATGGATACACCTTGGGACAGCATGGTGATCTCCAATTTGTGCTCTGACTGAAGACAGTAGAAAGGAGGGGCAACGGTGTCACTAGGATGGACAATACCAGGGACCTGGACAAGCACTACCCTACATGTAGTAAGTGAAGAAGGGGTCTTACCTTAAAGTGGTCAAGGAACTGCTTGAGGGTCATCTCTTTACCATTAGGCTGCAGCCCCTGGGCCTCAAAGCGATCCCAAAGTGTCCACTCTTGGTTATAAAACTGCACGAGAAAGCACAGCAGAGTAAATCAGGGGACAAGCCCAGGTTACACTCTCTTTAAAGCACAAATATGAGTTTCATTTGCACAGTGCACAGGTTCCAACAGTGAACACAGGGTGAACAAAATTAAAGCAAACCTCCAGAATGATGAAAACCAGAGCCAGTTCTCCAAGGATAAGATACATATACTTCCCACTCATATACATACATGTATCAGGCACTGAAGCATAATACCGAAGGTTTCCATAAATACAAGACTTTACCTGGTGACAGCGTGGGGCAAGGGGCCCAGAGAAGCAGAAAAAGGGCAGGGCCAAGTTGATGAAGCTATTTTTATAGGACTCAAGCTGTTGGTGTCCCTGTACCACTTTGTACAGCTCCAGAGAAACAAGGCCAACTACAGCTGCTGTGGTTGTAGCAATGGCTGGGATGATCTTCCCTGCAATCAGCTTGCTCTATGACACAGAATGTGACGAGCAGAGGTGATTGTTAAGAGAAGCTGACAGCCCACTGAAAAGGTCGTATGTGGCAGATTCAAATTTAGAAAGGGTTCAAGTTTAGATCCAAATTTTTGTTACCTTATGTCGGTCTGCGAGGGGAATGTTATAGTTCTCTGCCCGGAGATTGGATGCAGCCACAATGAAATCCATGTGGAAGTTGGTGCCATCATCCTTTTCTTGAGTAGAGACAGAGGAAGAATAGAGGAAGCAGATCAGGAACAAAAGGTTTTCTAGATAGTACTATGGACCAACAGCTATCTTCCCCCATCACCTGCCAGTGCGGCCAAAGATGTCCCAGACCACCAAAAAAAAAAAAAAAAAAAAAAAGGGCTATATGGTAGACGTGTAAACCCCACAAAAGCTAAAGATGGCTCAGCCCATCCTCCTATCCTGCTGAGGGCACCCCTCTCCCAAGCACCTTCTCAAAGTTGATGGGGTACATCTTGAACCCAGAAAGGCTCTCTGGGGTGGGCAGCATGGCCTTGAGCTCCTGTAGGCGGTTATCATCTGCCGAGAGGAGGTAGTACATGTCAGTCCTCAGATACACATTAGATTCCAGGCCAGGGCCTGAGGTGAAAGCAGGAGTCCAAAGTAAGGCAGAGAATTTCACGCAGATAAAGGATTTATAAAGGAAAGACATCACGTGAGAAAGTAAAATGAAGCAGGAAAGACAAGGCAGAAACACCTCAGAGAGAAAAGAAGTAGACAGGCGTGTGGGACGTGAAAAGGAGTATAACTAGAGACACTGAGGGAAAACGACTGAGACACTAAGAAAGGTTTAGACAGCAAAACTATTTTCAATAAAGATGGATGCAACCCAGGTTGCTGACTGATGAAGGAGTGGATACAAAAACGTGGTCTATCAATTCAGTGCAACACTAAGTCTCCTTAAAGAGGAACGTTTGAAATCCTGGCAGTTTAACAGCACAAATGGGCTTAGAACTACATGCTCAGCCAGAGGTAGAAAGGCAAGTATTGCATAAGGTACCTAAAAATCAAAATCATAGAAACGGAAGATACATTATTGTTTGCCAGAGGCAGAGGGGAAGGGGACTGGGATGTTACTGTTTGATGGGGATAGAGTTTAAGATTTGCAAGTTAAGTTCCATAAATTTCCTGTACAATGTAACTGTATTTAATACTACTTAAGCATGTTTTTAAACATGATTAAGATGGTAAATCTCTTGTGATTTTTACCAAAATAGTAAATAAACAAATGCAGGATGTCAATGAGAACATAAAATAAGACATCTTAAAGAAGAACAACACAGACAAGGGGAGATAAGAAGGAAGACACAAAAGCAAACAGGAGACCAGGGGATAAAAGTTACAGAAAGGAACATAAAAAAGAAGAGAGTAGTGAAATGGGATAAACAGCACATATCTGAGAAGGAAGGAGGGGCATAAACAGTGCAGTTTAAAAAAAAATGTACAGGAAATAAGACAGTAGAAAGTGCCTGAAGGGGAGACAGATAGGGAAATGCATAAAGAGAAATATACAAACAGGAATGTGAGAGAGTAGCTATTTCAGACACAAAATGCAAAAGATATAAGGAGACGACAGATACACAAAGGAAGAAACGGAGGGATACAAACAAGATAAAATGTAGACAAGGACTTCTAGAACACGAGATGGGTAGGGGAGACATGGAACTTTGAGTTGGGGGACAGTTACAGTTGGAGAGATGGGGAATATATTGAGAGAGAGAGATGAAGAAAGATATACACACAGATTAGTAACAGGTTAAAGATACATATCAGAGAGAAGTAGAGAGATCTGTCAAGATGAACCAGGGAAGAAATCAGGCAGAGGGACTACTGGTGGAAATCGTATCCATTTATACTGCAGAAACACACAAAAAAGTAGTACAGAAAATAGAAGAAAACAAAGAAAAAAACACACACAAAAAAGACATGGTCCACTCAGGGAGGGAGAAGAAAGAAGTAGTGTGAGAGAGAATTTGTCTCCATCAAACCCACTGGAAACTGAAGAAGGAAAGAAGGCAGTGGATCAATCTCAGACAGGAGATCTCAGAGCAGAGCCAGGGGCAAAATATGAGTGTGCAGGAGGCTTGCATGGACATGGGCTACAGTAGCGTGGTGGCCCCAGCCCAGCTAAAGTATCTCACCAACGGAGGAACTGGTTTGCAGCTCCTGGTCAGAAACTTGGATCCTGATGCCAGACTTCAGGGTGAACTCAGAGACCTGCAGAGACTGAATGAGTTTGGTGACAGCACTCCGGTCCTGAGAGCCCATCATCCCATAGGTCTGGGCAAACAGGTTGGCAGCAGCTATCACGTAGTCCAGATGCAGGGGCTAAGAGAAGGCAAGGTAAGGAAGGGAAAGAACATCTGTACTCCCCTACGGAGGCTCAGCCTCCTTACCACCTGTTCAGTGACTTTCCACCCAACTGCAGGAGACCCAGGAGAGTAGACTTACATTGTTGACATCAAAGATAAGCGGGTGTGGGCAACATTTAGGCCCAGACCAGAAAGGGGCTCCTGAACCTGTAAGCTAGAAGACAGAAAGATTTAGGGGAGCAGAACCTGCCACAAGAAGTCTCTCTGATAACCACAACTCCTCATTTTCAGTCCCAGAAGGCCCAACTCACTATCCTTTGACACTCACTTTCTGTCAGATAGAGAGATATTTATGAAACTTTTACAGACCGCCAGCCACTGTGCTCTTGTTGTTCAGATGCTAAGTCATGTCCAACTCTTTCGGACCCCACGGACTGCAGCACGCCAGGCTCCTCTGTCCATGGGCGTCTCCAGACAAGAATACTGGCCTGAGTAGCCATTCCCTTCACCAGGGGATCTTCCTGACCCAGGGAGCAAACCCAGGTCTCCTGCACTTAAGGCAGATTCTTTGCCACTTCAGACACCAGGGAAGCCCACCGGGCACTGTACTAACAAATTAATTTACTAACTTAACAAAGAGCAATTAACCTTCACAAAACTCTCATGAAATTAGGTCATCACTCTTCCTAATTCCATGATGACTATACTGAGGTGCAGAGAGGAACTGCATAACTTGTGCCAAGAGAACACAGCTAGATTCTATGCCATTAACTCTGAATTTTTTCTTCTACAGTTGTGACAGTCTTGACTGGGAATCTGGAATGACACATCCTACGTCTAAAGGAAATGGATACCAAGTATCTGACGGTTAGAAGAAAGAGTGACTGGGCATTAGAGGAGAACGGTAGCAAGTCTTTGACCTCAAAAATCATTTGCTTATTCATTTTAAGAGCTCTCAAAGCCTTGCTGAGCTTGCCACAACCAGATTAACTGGAATGAATCACGTCAAAAACATGGCAGAAGCCAACACAATAGTGTAAAGCAACAACCCTCCATTTAAAAATACATTAAAAAATATTAAAAAAACGCTGGGGCACGCTGTTCCAAGTAAAACCATTCTGACAAATGGTCCCTGTGTTACTACCTGGTTAGGAGGAAAGTTGTGCAGCAGCTGTCTGATGTTGTTGGGAGTACTGGGTATGCCAGTGATAGCACGCCCAGGTCACACAGTCAGCCCATGATTGTGGCCGCTGCAGCACTAAGCTGCGCTGCATGCCCTCCAGCACCTGCAGAGCCTGGGTGCCTGCCAGGCACAGTGTTCGTTCCACAAACTTGGCGTCTCTATCAAGAATCAGAAGGGAAACCAATGCAGAATTACAAAGTGATTCCACGAGTAAGCTTATATCTGTGGAAAGTCAGTCCTGACTTCCAAAGTTATAAGGCCCAAGCAACCATTAATTTATTCAGAGAGTAGACCAGGGAATCCCCTGTGCTTCCGCCACAGGTGGTATGGATACAATCCCGCCACAGGTGGTATGGATACAATCCCTGAGTGTCCACACACCACTGTGTGATACCTGGTGTGTCCCTGGCCCTCCCTACACCAAAAAAAAAAAAAAAAGTACAGTAGGTCCTAACTGTTAAATGGTTACAGAATGCTTTGACTGACAGGCCAAAGACAGGGTGAGCAGGCACTTGCACCAAAGTACTCACATAAGGTATTTGTTGACATTTTCTGCTGGCTGCTTGAAAAGGCCTTCAAACTCATCCTGAGCCCACTGCAGACAGAGCAGAAAACAGTACATTGAGATACAGGAAACAAATGAGATACGAGAAACAAAGTTAAGTTTCTGCAGGCATTAGAGAGATCATCAGGCAAATACAGTAAACAGGAAAACCACGGCTGCTATGGGAAAACAGAGGAATGAACCCACCGCAATGGGACTCCTCAAACTTTTAAACACCCACCATTCCATTTAAAAATCAATGATGTTAATCTGGGCAGATTACTACACAGGCGTATTTTGTGGTAAACTTATTCTGAGGCTGAACACGTTACCCTAGGTATGTCATGCCTCAATTATTAAAAAAAAGAAAAGTTCACACCAAAAATAAAACATGAATGATCTTGCAGGGACTGTGCAGAAAATAATAATAGCACTTTTCCCCGAGAATTAAAGAGACAGTACAGTCCCAGGCAAAGTAATGTAAACCATCCTGTTGGTGGAGATCCAGATTCACATGCCAGCTCTGCCACACTTGTGTGACCTTCAGGTACATCTTGACTTTTATATCCTCATTTCAAAATTCTGTATCACTAGTATCTACACCTCAAGGAGTTAATATCATAGAGTAAGCACACAAGTATATATTTTCAACTTATTTTGAATGTCACAAGGACATACCAAATGTAACTTCTTTACAAAAGTCCTGTGAGAGTTACTACTTTCATTTCCATTTTACAGATAAGGGATCTGAAGCATGAAGAGCTTATGTCCAAGTATCAAACCTGCTCTTCATTTCAAAAGCCCTTTTACTGGCCTCTCTGTGTGTTAGTAGAAAGAAACAAAGTAACAGAACCATAATCTTGCAAAGGTTTTACATACTGAAAGACACAGACACACACTCCAACACATCTTACTACCTCTCCCTCTGTCTCTGACTATAAATATATACATACACACACAAACATGAGAGGCATGGACAGGCAGAGAGACACACTGTGTACTGAGTCCCTAAGTAAAAACATCCTGCAAGGAAAACTGACAGATTCAACTGTTTCTTCTCATTTTCTTACTACTCCCATACTTCCTAAACATACTCAAAAACTGCATTAGGAATTATTTTGATAAAATGATGGTTATTTGGGACCAAAAAGGAGATGGGATTCGGGACAGGTTCTGAGTGGCAGCAAACGGGAGGCTTTTACATTGTCAATCTAGATGATAGATATGCTCTTATATATACATATATACACACACACACTATAGAAACAATTATTCTGACAAGCAAACTGCTAAATGTATTCTGGACAAATATCAAAATGTTAGTCGTAAATATGTACTCAGTAGAGAGGGGTTTTAATAACGAGCAGAGCTGATATTAAGAAGTTGTATTTTGTTTAGCAACAAAACAGTATCCTCTATAGAAAGACAGACATCTTCACATCTTAGATACACACTTCTTATGTAAAATGTCTTGCATAGTATACATAACACTTCCCTGTATGTTTCCAATATAAAATGCCCAAGTTATGAAAAAGCATTCCAAAAAGGTTAGGGTACTAGGTCTAAAATGAACGAAGGAGATTTGAAGGGAGGGCACATCTTATATACACTGAGGCTTGCATGACTGGGGCTTGCATGACTGGAATCAAAAGAGCTTGGCATTGTCTAGATGCTCTTTCTACCCCCACAGCTGATCACCTGCAACGTGTGCTCGATGGCATTCGGGAAGTTCTTCAGCGTGCAGATGGGGATGGACTTCTCAGGAGGGTCCTGGCTGGAGCTGTATGACTCTGTCAGGAAGGGGATAACCACTTGTACATTACCCTTGGTTCCCAGTGTTCCTGACTCCAGAAGTGGCTTACGGTAGTAAACACAACGGCGGTCCATGTACATGCCTGCGGCAAAGAGTCAACAGATGAAGGGGAAGTAAACATCAGTACAGATGACACTCCCCGCCAAAAACACAAACATGGCTCTGTCCTGGTTCTCACCCATCCACAACACTTACGGGCATCCACATTGTCCAGGGCATTGGCCACACCATCCAGGTTTTGAAAGAAGTCGTCATCATACACATGCTCTGTCTCAGGGCCCACACGGATCTGATGGCTTATGACCCGGATGTGTGGATTTATTTGGCTCACAGCTGCAGCAGTTGTATCAGACTTCAACTTCTGGGTAGCAGCAGAGGAAACAGAACTGTCATTCATATAATCACCCAACTCACCTGTGCAGACCTATCCTGGAAACTGATTAAGTAATGATGCACAAGACCAACGCTGTGACTTCAGGGGCTCTGTGGCATATGACAAATGCCACGCAGCTGAGGCTGAAACAAACGGGGAACAGGGCTTAAAAAGAAAACAGTGACCCAGTAGGAGACAATGGGTCGAGCACCTGTTTCTTCTATCTACCCAACATGTATTGTTAGTTTTAGTTACCAGCACCCAGAATGCACGTGCGGTGCGTTCACTGAAAGAAAACCAAGATCGTCTGGTTTACAAAACCAGGATCCTCTGAAACTTAGCTCAAGCTCCTCTTCTGTTCAAAACCCTCTATCAGTTCCCAATTTCAACTAAGCATAAGATGAAGTGGCCCCTATTACTTTTGCAAGTTTCTCTATTCCTATGATCTTCCACTGTCTCTACCTCTTAACCACAGAAAAAATATTTCAACCTTGAGATTTTCCTCATGCTGCTACCTTTACATTAGTATATTCTTTCCTGAGATTTCTTCCACTCCACCTCTCTCATTTTTAATTCTCTGTGGAAATGTCACCTTTCCAATGAGACCTTTTTTACCACATTGCAAACTACCCTCTCATGACACTTTGTTCTTTATCTTGATAATGATTCTTACCCTAAAACATTATTTTTCACCCCATGTTCAAACTATACATTTTGCTATTTGTATTTATCCACTCTAGCAGTTGGAAAAGCAGAGGTCTTAAAAAGGATTTTTTTTAATGTGATGTAAAGCCATCAATATATCCTACATTAGACATTTAAACAGAGAAAGGTTTAAATAATATTAGTCTGTTTAAGACTAGGATAATTGCATTACATAACACAATCATTGAGAAAAACATCGCAACATGAAGACTTTAATATTAAGACAGGTTTCGAGTGTAATTACAATTTTGCACATTTCTCTTAAGCTGTTTTAGAAGACAGAAGAATTTTCACAACTACTGCAGTCAATGCATTATATATTTTGTTTAAAAGAACCTAAGGGATATTCGGCCTTACAAAAAATGTTTCAGTAACAGTTTTTAGGTGATATTTTAAAAATACAGAAAACTTGACAGGTGTTTACAAATGTAATTGCAAGGTGAAATGTGGAATCCATATCAACATTCAGTGGTTTTCAATTCATTTAGAATTGAAAGCGAATTTCCTTAATGCACGATTCTGTACCATCATGCACTGATCGAGTCATTTGGAAAACCCTGTGTTCTTGTCAGATAGCTGTTCAAAGTAGAGAGGGAGAGTCACCCTTCAGCTGGTGAAATGAAAACAAAAGCAAAATAGTGTCCTAGTAAGTCTTGAAACATCTATGGGCTTGAGGAAAGAGTGCTATCTACCTCCACTGAACTTTGAGAAACTCTCAATGTTATGTCACTGCATCAGAGAAGAGCAGAAACTTCTCTATATTCTTATATATCTCAACTATCAAAGCAGTGCCTAGTGTCTGCATGATAAAATGAAAGGCAGACACTTAGCAGGCAAAAAATAACCCGGACTTTTACATAAGACTTTCCTCTATATCCTAGCTTCTGTAGTCTCACATAAGCCGTAACTAAAAATCAAAGGAAAAAGAGTAGGGAGAGATGCAAAATGACAAATGCAAGACACAGTGAATATCTGCTCAAAGACTGAACCATAGAGAAAAAATAAGGGAGGAACTGAAGGAAAGGGGTAAACAAAAGAGACCTAAGTTAGCATGACGGATAACAAAGAAAAGGAGAAAAACCCAACAACTTAACCCTGTCCATCTCACTCACCGTGACATCCCAAGGACGGAACAGAAACTGTCGGTTCAGATTTGACTTCTCGATGATGTCCATGTCTGTTACCGTGATTGACCCACCATCCCCACAACCTAGCCCAATCATGGCAAAGTTCTTGAGCAGTTCACAGCCAATGGCCCCTGCACCCACCTGGGAGGCAGTCAAGAAGACAGAGAGGTAATGGTTAGTGGCACTCGGATAACAAAGCCACCCCTCAGTCCTATTCCTCTCGGAGACTGTAAGACAGGGCTGGGCAAGAGACTCTAGTATTGAATATTTAAATCCCAGGAGCATAAAAACGCAAGGTCATCAGGACAGAGGCAGAAGACCAGGAACAAAGGAACTGGCATGAAAACAAAATGCTAAACGAAAGAGATGAGGGTACAATCAAACACCCTCCCTTCTAAGGCAAAGACTCCAGAAGAGGTGGCCAGAGCTAGGATAAATAAAAGGAGCTTGTTCCCAACAGGAGTTCTCACCAAGAAGTATCTCTGCTTGCCCAGTTTCTCTTGCAGGCCGGAGCCAAATACAGCCACCTGCCCATCGTAACGGTTCTGGCACTGTGTCAGGTGAAGGGAGGAGAGGATTAGAGAAATTGTACACCAGAGAGGACCAAAGTAATACCTTCTCTGTGGGCCCCCATCACATACTGGAAGGCATTTGTCCTCTGAAAGAGCCTCCTGGCCCTCAGGGAGACACTCAAGGGCATCGAAGTACAGCCACTGCATAACAGGCATAAACTTTCCAGAGCAGGCCTGAGGAGGAGGTAAGAAAGGGGAAGTGATCCCCGGTTAATCAGAGCCTGACGGCAAGTAGCAGAGTCAGAAAGAAACCGAGCCCACTCCACCACTATCCTACCCACACCTACCTTCATAACCTCCTGAGCAGCCAAGCCCCCAATGAAGGCATTCATGGGTGCTAGATCCCCAGCAGCCACGTAAGCCAGCTTCCTGATGAGGTCTTCATCCAAACTGTCTTGCTGCACTGCTGGCGGGGCTTGAGCCTTCACAGCCTCTGCTAGGGTCACCAGTTCTGCTGCATCCTTCTGGTAGGACACAAGAAACAAAGACTCAGTCATGCCACTGTGGGGAGAGGGACAAGCAGAAAAAGTAAAGACAAGCAGTAATGGTAGAGCTTTGGTGCAAGGACCCGGGCTGGCTTGCCCACCCACCTACCTCACTGTGGGGCCGAGGGGACCTGCCATGCTGAGCACAGAACTGGTGCAAGGCCTGGAAACCAATGTGCAGTTGAGCAGAGCGAGAATACTTGGCAAAATCTGTTATCACAAAGTCTGGCCCTGCCAGTGAGTTGAGCAAGGATTTCTGGTGGAGAACAGAGAAGACCACATCAGAACTAGAAAAGCAAAACAAAATGAAGTGAGAAATACCTGGAACCTTACAGTACACCCTCCTGCACATACTTACAAAGCTGATCTTCTTAGCTATTTTGACCTGACTGACAATGCCTCCACGGATATACTCAGAGAAATTTGAGCTATCACAGATACTAAAGGTGTAAGGACCTAGAGGATAAGAAGCATTAAGATTTATCTGTCAATTCACACCCTCCCAAGATCAACAGAACTACCAAAACCAGAATGGAGGAACCACCCAACTCTCCCTCTCCACCACCCACCTCTCCCTTGGATTCAAAGTATGCGATTAGCAGATGCAAACTATTACACACAAGATGGATAACAACAAGGTCCTGCTGTATAGCACACAGAACCATATCCAATACCCTGTGATGAACTATAATGGAAAAGAATACATAAAAGAATGTATATACAACTAAACCACATTACTCTAAAGTAGAAACTAACGCAAGATTCTAAGTCAACTGCACTTCAATTAAAAATACTTTCATTAAAAACAAACAAAAAACCCCACAATGCTGATTTCTTCAATAGCATAGGTACTCTATGTCTAATATGTCACTCCGGAGCAAAAAGCAGCAAGCTCTTAAAGGATCCAACATCAATGAGATAAGCTCAACAATTATGAAAGGAACAAAAAAAACACAGCTTGAAACTCTAAAATCCACAATTATCTTCCATCCATCAAAAATTTCCAGGTCATGAGTCTCTGGCTTTAATTTTCATCAAATCTGTAAACTCTGAAATATTACTTCTTTAAAAAAACTTTTCTGCCTCACACCTTTGTTGGGATTTATTAGATTCCATGTATTTTTTTCACTTGAAGCAGCCATATGTCTTTTTTATATCTTCCAAATCATTCTGTACTATCTATATTCATGATTACAGGGAACTGTTGACACATGAAATATATTTATGACGTGACAGGTGGTGCTAGTTGTAAAGAACTTGCCTGCCAATGCAGGAGACATTAAAGGAGACCCGGGTTTGAGCCCTCAGTGGGAAGATCCCCTAGAGGAGGAAATGGTATTCCACTCCAGTTTTCTTGCCTGCAGAATCCCAGGGACAGAGGAGCCTGGCAGACTACGCTCTACAGAGTCGTAAAGACTTGGACACAACTTTGGTGACTTAGCATGCATGCATGTGTGCACTGATTTTATATACTTGGTATGTTTAACAAATTAACACACAAGAAAAAAGTAGTAGATTTAATAAAGTAGAAGAAATTATCCATGGTACCACAAAGAGCATGGAGACAACCAAAGAGTAACGTGGCTTAAAATGCATGTAACTGGAGATCTAGAAAGAGATGATGGAGTGGGGAGGGGGCTGAGAAAGTAGTACTGAGACGAAAGAAGGTGGTGGGGGTGGGAGGGTGCAGAAATATTCCAAATCTGATAAAGCTATGGTCTCAAAGGTAGTATAAGTTTGAAAGGAAGCACCGAGAAAATTACACCAAGGTCTGCTATCATAATTGCAAAATATACTAAGGTATATAATCATCAATCCATTTCTTAAGATCAGTGATAGAAAATATAAGAACGTTAAATGCAAAGGAACAAGGGTAAGAACAGGAGACTTTGTGGGGAAAACAGGCAAGAAAGAACAGTACCACATCTTTAAGCAATGATATCTAGAATGCTACACTCTGCAAAAACTTTTTTGTCCAAAATCAGGCATTCTGAAATAAAGACAATTTCAAACATCAAAAAGCAAGAAGAGTCGCCACTAAAGTACAACATCTGATAGAGCTTGAGTGGAAGCAAAATGGTACTGGATGCACATCTAAATGGAGAGAACATGGAACTGTCAAACCCCAACAAATAATTTTAATTTGGCAATTACAGAATAAAAAAGCTGTTCTAGCTTTTCAATGCTTGAAGAGGTTTATGACGCACATGAAATTGCAATTATTTTGGTGTGTGTGTGCAGTGATAAAGTATTACTTGGAAAAGCAAATGCAGAATTTACATTTACACAGTCTAAAAGTTAAAGAAAAAATTAAAGAGAGGTGCAACCAATGAGCCAAATGCAATCAAATACTAGCGGTATTCATCTTTCTGCTTCTAGGTTCAGTTCACAGTTCTCAACTAAGGCTACATGGACACATGTCTTGTAAATCCCACGTGAGAGATTAGAGAGTTATAGCCTCTTGGTCTGTGGTGCAATTCAGTATACATACATATGACCACAGGGACAATTCTCCCTTCGTTCTAGGTAATCATTTCCTGACCCCCAGCTTAGCATACCCAGGACTTTGATCTCTAGTGGACAGATGCCATTGAGTTCATTCATGCCCTGAACTTCTGTAAAGGAGACGAAGTCACCACTCTCAAATCCGTGTCGGGATTCATCCAGGCAAGTGACAATACCAGGGTTGCCCTGGTTGGAAGAGAAGTTAAAGAAAGTCTCACATGTAGAATCAGGGTACCCGGAGCATAGACAAGGACTAAGGCTACAAACATGCCTGCCTTGGGCCAGACTCCATACCTTGGTAACCATAGAAACCATAGCAGTGAGAGGCTGTTCCCCATTGGAATCTGTGAGGATCATTTCCTCTCCAAAGTCACAGAACAATTGCCTGTAAAAGGAGAAAACAGGACTGAGACCTGGAACTCGGGTACTGAGGCATCATGCTGGTAACATGACAGTGCTTACACAGTATGGGCAGAGGTGGACATGCAGACTTGTATACATGGTTTTCCTAAGAGAATCATTAGGGCACTGAGAGCCAGGGTGGTTTTGGCCTGGCCTAGGAAGGCGTTAGGGATAAACAGAGAAGGTGGAACTCACCCAAACAGACCTCGAGTGTCTGCTACCACCAGCTTGATTCCATGCCTGTGACAGAACTCACCCACCTTCAGCTGGTCCTCCAAAGGAGAGTTGGTAAGGACCACCACCTGTAACAAGAAAGCAGCTCACTGCAAAAAGGACTGGCACTGAGGTGAAGGGGAGTAAGGAAAAAAAAGGAGAAAGGCAAGTCAGGAACTGGCAGAAGGTCAGGGCTCCAGCTTACGAGTTGACCTCTTCTACAAATATAAAGTACATGTTTCATACTCTGTCAGGGGACGTTCAACTTTCAGGGATCCAATATGTTATTCTCTTGTGTGCCATTTCTCAAGGACTCTCTATTCCTTATCAGTTGCTGGAAAACAGCAGCGAGCAGAGGTGCACACAGTTCTCAGGACTGAGATCATGAGAAAGATGACTCATGAAAGGAGTCTCAGGACTCCTTTCAGTGATTCCTTTCAGTGACATTTTACTTAAAGGTAATTATTCAGTTACACCCCTCTTACTCAAGATATGGAATACTTTCTGGCCCTTTGAAGACTGTTATGTGCTTGGCTTTGTTTTTGCTCAAAATTTTTTACTACAAATTGCCTTGTATGAAGATATATAAATGTGCATTTCTGCAAATAAAGCACCCCTGTTTCACTCGAGACCTGGGTCCCCTGCGTCCCAATTCTGGTTGACTCCAGTCCCCAGGTCCCAGTCTACAAAGACTGTGACAAGCGGCGCCCCAACAGGGACCTGGTGAATGCCCTTGACAAGCAGATGGAGTGACTGTTAGGACCTACGGAGTTTCGGTTATGTGACAAATGGCTGGAATGCCCCCACCACTTTTCTACTTTACTTCATCATTTATTTAAGGTTCAGGACTTTTGGTTTCACATCAGCAGATAGAGGCTTGTCTACAAACAGTGGTTGAATATAATCCCTGGTTCCTTGATGAAAGCAGTTCCAATTTAAAAAGTTGGAACTGGGTTAAAAAAAATTAAACCACAAGACAGAGAGAAAACATTCCAATAGATTTCTGGCCCTTGTGGGCCTTCATTAAAGCCATAATCTTGCCATTTCAAGGCAATTCTAGCCCCCCAAATATCATCAACAAGCCTAACTCTCATTATATGACTATAAATTAGATGATAAGACTTTACAAAAGGCCCACTTAGAGCAACAGAAAATGTTTCAAAACTTTCCCATCATCCCTGCTCCGACTGCCCCAAGCACTCCTCCTGCTCTAGTAACAGGCACGAAAACTAAGTTCCCCTTAATTAAAAGACAAAATGAATCTGATGATGATTCTTCTGCTGCTCTCTTTGACACTAAAGCAACAATACATTTGATGACAATAATAAGGCCCTAACACACACTCATACTTAAGAATACAGACGATCTACTCGTTCTCCTTCACCACGAAGGCTTTCTGATTTACTGGCTTTCCAATCTCAAGTCTCTGAGGCCAATGATCTTCTTGCTTTTCCTGTGTAAAGAAATATTAATGCTCAAGGGCAACTAATAGCTCAATATGAAGGCACTGGTTTTTCTCACATGCAGAAAATGAAAAAGGTTGCAACTATGTATGGCCCTTATTCACTTTTTACTAAACTCTATGGCATCTTCTATTGAAAATTTTATTCCTTATGGTTGGCAAATTTTGATATAAATTCTTCTTAAACCAAGAAAATATCTTCAGTAGGTAATACAGTTTCACAATGTGGCCCAAGATCATGCCAATTCTAACGCTCGAACTGGCACTCCCCAAAACCAAATTACTTTTGAAATGTTAACCGGTACAGGGCAATTTGATTCGGTGCAAGTTCAGATACAGTGCCCTGTATCTGTTGACTGCATGAACAATTGAAAGAACTTGCCCTTGACACTTGGGATCAAATTACTCCTCAAGGGGAACCTAAAGGTAGCTACACAAAGATATTACAAGGACCTAATGAAGCCTATGCTGATGTTTTAGCTAGACTGGGAGTTGCTATCTCCCATAATGTTCTCACAGAAGAAGCCAAAATACAGTGAGAAAAACTGCTTATATATGAGAATGCGAATCAGAAATATCAAAGAGCCATTGCTCCAATTCATGAGACCAAGAATGTTATTATTTGAAGGCTTGTCACAACTTAAGATTAAAAACTCAGAAAATGCAAATGTTAGCAAAACAATGGCTGCTACCTTTAAAAAGGAAAATGAAAGATGTTTTGTTTATGGAGATAAGAGCCATTAAAATAATTGCCCGAACACACACACACACACACACACACACACACACACACACGTGCACATACAAATTGAAACTATTCAAAAACCTCCAAAAGTCTGCCCTCACTGTCATAAGAAGATCAGTTCAGTTCAGTTCAGTTGCTCAGTCATGTCCGACTCTTCGCAACCCCATGAATAGCAGCACGCCAGGCCTCCCTGTACATGACAAACTCCCGCAATTTACTCAAACTCATGCCCACTGAGTCGGTAATACCATCCAGCCATCTCCTCCTCCGTCGTCCCCTTCTCCTCCTGCCCCCAATCCCTCCTAGCATCAGGGTCTTTTCCAATGAGTCAACTCTTCACATAAGGTGGCCAAAGTATTGGAGTTTCAGCTTCAGCATCAGTCCTTCCAATGAACACCTACGACTTATCTCCTTTAGGATGGACTGGCTGGATCTCCTTGAAGTCCAAGGGACTATCAAGAGTCTTCTCCAACACCACAGTTCAAAAGCATCAGTTTGTCGGCGCTCAGCTTTCTTCACAGTCCAACTCTGACACTGGGCTAAAAAATGTCAACCTAAATATGATGTTGGGTGAAATCTTATTTCAGGAAACTCAAAGATGGGGACTCACCAGGTCCCCATCAACAAAAACCAGGGACAAACTCCATCTTTTCCCATTCACGGCAGCCTCCAACAATGCTGCCGTGAATATACTAGTCATAAATGATTCTCTTCTTTTTCCTCAAACAGTCCCTTCTAGAATATTATTTACCTTTACACCCTCTAGACCTAGAGAGATTTGCTTTCTCTCTCCCTTATCCTAATCATAGCAGGCCTCACAAACGATATCAACAGACTGTACTGCCTCAAAAAATGATGAAGTCTTCCATTATATGTCAATATTATGGGGCCAACATGCTCTATTACACAATAATGTTGGCTCATTACATCAAATCTGGAAAAATCCCATACCGACATGCTAAAGAAACCATTAATAACTGCTCTACTCATAGGCCCCTACATCTTCAACCCATTACACAAGGTATCAAACCTCAAAGATTACAACCCAATGAACTATGGCAAATAGATATAACTCATTGACCTGAACTTTCTCCCTCTGCCTTCTTACATGTCTCAACTGATACAAATTCTTCTTTTATATGGGCCACACCTCTCCGAGGTGAAACTATACAACATGTTATAACCCACCTGTTAACTTGCTTTGCAATAAAGAGAACACCTAGTTCTATAAAAACAATGGCCCTGCCTGTATTTCTAGACAATTCCAACAAGTTTTACACTCATTTTCTATTAAACATATTATAGGTATTCCTTATAATGCACAAGCACAGGACATAGTTGAACATTGAAACTATAAATAAAACAATTAAAAAAGGGGGAACACACAGGGACACATCTATCCTCCTTATCCAGAGCAGACTTCACTAGATTCCAACACAATATACTCTTTAATCCTATAACTACTATTAATACAGCTTTGTTTTACATTTTTTAAACTTACCACAAGGAGATATTTTGACAAAAGCAGAAAAACATTTTGGCATTGAAGGACACCTCACTTCCTCTGCCTATTTGGTATCAAGATGGGTTGACTAAACGATGAAAATTTGGGAAATTACTATTACAGGGAAAATGGGTATGCTTGTATTTCTCCAGCTGGATCCTACAGAATCAGTTGCTTCCCTCTTCAGAAGATCTGCCCCAGGGGAGCCACCGGCCTTCAAGACAGAGAAGAAACGGCAACACCCCCAGAAGGAAGAGTTTCCAGTACAAGCCATCGTGGCTTTAAAAACTGCCAAGAAATGCCACACTGAACATCACTGCCCTTCTATCTCCCTGCTTGGGGACAGATAAAAATCCTTACTAATCAAGTTGAAAATCTCATTTCTGAACAGAGAATTCCTCGGAATCCTGAAAATATTTTTGTTGCCACGCTTGCTTTGCTTGCTTTTGCTTCTACCACTCAGGCTGACTTGATTAATCACACTTATTGGGCCATACCTAACCCTCCTTTATTGCAGGTTACAAAATGGACAGACATAGGACTGATTAATCCACTAATGACTCAATACGTATGCCTTTTCCTTGGAACTTGGAGGGGCCCTCTCATCCTGAGAAAGAAGGCAGACTGATTAACATTTCTCTAGGCTATTAAATCCTTCCTTTTACACATGGGCCCAGCAGTATCATGTATTCATGTTCAACAAACATGGACTTTTGTCCTGCCTCCAAAAAAGAACTTCGGCACATTGCTTGGACTGCTTACTGCCCTGTCCTTTTATGAGAACCATGTCAATACAACCAAAACTCTAGGAGAAGGAAAAAAGTTGGAATGTAAGGTGTTTACTTATAAGCACTTTAAATACACTCCTGTTTTTGGGGATATATGTCAAGCTAAATCAGGGAAATTAATGTTTGTGGCCAATTACACCATTGTTGATTGTGGACCCTATGACATGTGGTTATCTAACTGCTCAGATGATATTAACAGTACTATGTGTTATTATGTTACTCAAGTAACATGGAAGATTACCAACAGTTCAGTTAAACACTTCCATGACAAAGGACTCCCTGGCTGGCTTGACAGTGGAATGGCACCTCCTTGCCCTCGAATCCTCCTCAATATACAGACTGGACCTAAACATTGGGACGTCTGGAGACTTGCTGTGAGTACTGAAAAACTTGAAACTTGCACTAGATATTTTACAGAGACTAGTTGTAATCATAGTAACTATTCCTTCCATTATAATCATTCATATTTTATATAAGCTTGTGTTCCCCCTCCTTTTGTTATGGCCAAAGGAAACTTAAAACTTAATAAGGCTTTACTTTCTATGACTTGTAGAGATTACAAATTGTATACTTGTCTTAACTGCTCTATTTCTCTAAAAAAGAAGTCCCTTTTGATTCTTTGATCTCCACTTAAGTCTATGGCTGCCAGCAGATCTCCAATGACAGTGGGAAGAAGGTCCTATGACAGACTTGCCTCCTGGTTACCCAATAAATTACTCTGACGATCTAAGCAGTTAATTGGATGGCTGATTCCTGGCATTTTCAGATTAATAGCCATTTGTGCTACTGCTAGTGTTGCAGACACTGCTTTACAAACTTCAATTCAAACACAAAACTTTATTCAAAGTTGGACTAAAGATGCTCATACTATATGGGTCCCTCAGGTTCAGATAGATGAAAAAGTTGAAGATAAAATTCAGAAATTAGAAACAGCCATCCAATGGGTTGGAGATCAATTAATAGCTTTATTAAAACAAATATTATTAAACTGTGGTTGGAATCCTACACAAGATTGTATCACTGCTGTTGGTTCAACCACAATGCTTAAAATTGAGAACAAACCAAATTTAAACTGCAAAATATACATAATAACACTTCCTTAAATGTGTAATTGTGGCAAAACAAAATTTTGGAAAACTTCTCTAAGAGTCTACCCTCTTCCAACAATTTAGAAACCTTTACTGAACAGCTGACTGATAAATTGTCTGGGCTGGAAAGCAAGGATGGTTTTGAAACATTTCATGTAGTATCGGATCTGAAACTGTAACACTGATAACTATCCTGGTGATTACATTTGTAGTATACCGATGTCTTTCAACTAAAGTTGTTCAAACTAAACAAGCTCAATTGGTCACGGCCTTTCTCACAAAAGTATCTACAGTCACCCCCAATTATGAACAAATCAAAAAGGGGGAATTATCGGGGGGATGTTCAACTTTAAGGGATCCAATATGTTATTCTCTTCTTTTGGGTGTCATTTCTCAAGGACTCTCTATTTTCTTATCAATTCCTGGAAAACAGGAATGAGCAGAGTTGCATGCAGTTCTCAAGACTGAGATCATGACAAAAGGGCACCTACTTAGAATCCTTTCAGTGACTCTCTTCAGTGACCTTTTACTTAAATGTAATCTATTCAGTTATGCCCCTCTTATTCAGGATATGGAACACTTTCTGGCCCTTTAAAGATTGCTATTTGCCTGGCTTTGTTTTTGCTCATTTTTTTTTACTGCCTAAAGCTGCCTTGTATGAAGATATATAAACATGCATTTCTGCAAATAAAGCAACCTTGTTTCACCCGAGACTTGGGTCCCCTGCTTCCCTCTTCTGGTCAACTCTAGTCCCCAGGTCCCAGTCTACAAAGACTGTAACAATACTCAGTGAGGGTGAAAGTACAAGATAAATATGAATTCCCACACTATGACAAGAAATGTAAAGAGGTATTAACGGGACAGAATCTGAAGACCAACTAATCCACTTCTCTGAAAAATGAACACCCACTCCTACCTGCCTACAACCTAGTATGCCCTTTTACACACTCTGTAAAAGTTGGCATTTAACCCCAAATCATACACTTTCGTTAGTTTCCATTTTAATACTAAACAAAACAGGACAAAACTAACCCTGCTCAGCAATGATTTGGAAAGAGTCCTTTTCCGAATGTCCTTCCCTATTCACAAGGGTAAGTTCCTACCACTATAACAAGAGTTCCAGTGCCCAAGTTCTCTGGGAAACCCCAAGCAGAGTATCAGCACCCAGAGGCCCAGTCCATTAAAAAATATATTGGACAAACCAGAAAATGGATCTGAGGAAGGTAAGGCAAGTTGATGCTGCAAGATACCTGGAAACCACTAAGAAAGTCTTCAACAAGGGCACCAGTGTATGTGCTGACTGGCACATAGTGGTTGAGTTCAGCAAGGTGGGGCTGTGATGCCTCAGCACGGCTCTTACCAATGTCCTCCTCTCGCAGGTAGAACTACAAGAAGGTACAGAAAGGAAAAAAGTGACGTGAATGCAGAGATCGGGCTGTTTGGTGCCTGGGCAAGGGAAGGGAGTCAGGAAAGAATACCTGGGACGAGAGGTCAGCCCACTGAGCAGTGCCCTCATCATGCAGGGTGACAGCTTTGACACCATCAAGGATGACATTCTTGGCAATCTCCACCCCTAGGCCCCAAAGTCCTGATACCAGCACACTGGATGCCTGGAGATGCTTCATAGCCTCATGGCCGAGGACATATCTGCAAGATTTGAAGACGGCTCGGTCAGGGCTTGGCTAACCCTCCGCTATCTTCTGTGTCCCTCTGCTGCTTCATATAACCAGGTGTAGTCACACTTACAACTGTCTAGAGTAAAGACCTTCATCAATGTCTGTTTCACTGCCCTTTTTTGGCATTCCCTAGGAATGGAGGGAAAAAAAGTTTCAACAAGATAAAGCAAAAGCTTAAATAACAGAGATACTTTCCCACCAACCACAACACCATCCCACCTCCAAGATTTATCTTAGAGAAACTCACGCTGGCTGATCCTGATGGCTCTTTGAACATTACAGAACAAGCAGAGGAGAAATCAGGACTTGGTTTTGATCAGGCCCAGACATACACTGTTTCTTTGACAGTGGCAACCTAGACATCTTTAGAAAAAAAGTCAGAGATGAGCCAGATGTAGGCAGACTTTTTTGTTAATGGTAACTCGGAGGGAGAGAAGGGATTTAGTACTAATAATCTCATCTAAGAAAAGAAGAATGAAAATATGCTAGGTACCAAAGCCACTCTGAGATGAAGGAAACAGAAGGCCGAGCTCAGACAGCTGACATTCCCTAGAGGAGAAAAAAGAAAAGCTTCAGGGAGATAACAGACTAAACACTCACTGACCACCCACTGGCTATATCATGAAGTCTGGCTGGGTTTCATGCAGGCTGAATAGATGCTGAGAAGGGGATACTTTCTGATCTAAGGCTGTTGGAGGAGGGGATATGATAATGCCGTATGTGCCAATGAGACTGAAAGTCAAGATTGCCAGCTTCTCAATAAGGATGCCGGGGGCCTCCCAAGGCCCTTAGGGTATACTACAAGGCCAGATGTGGAGTAACACGATCTTTTAAAAAGCTGAAATTTAGCTACTTTTTGAATCCACAGATAGAGCTCCAAGCAAGCCTGGGACTATGAGCCTCTAACAGAAATCTTAGGACCAAAATCTGACATGGTGTTATCAAACACTGCCACAGTGATGAAGGGAAGTGGGGAAGGATGTCTGAAGGACTATATATCCAAAGAATTCCTTCCTGGTGTCTTATTCCTTAGGGGGTTCTGAGGGCTGATACTTGGAGTTATTTGAAAAGAACTGTGAAACAATGAAAAAAACTGGTTATTCTCCAACAGTATATGATGTCTTATGAGTAAAGCATGTTACTGTAAAACAAAGTTGGGTTCAGAGGCGTTTCTTGATGCAAATGCTAAAGTCGAGTTTGCGGACCTGGGCAACTAAGCAGAAATCTTGGGTATAGGAACATTTCTTAAAGGTGGTGTAGAAATGAAATGTCTTTAAACTGACATGTTCAAAAAATGTATTTTAACTGGAAATACTGGGCCCAGTGTGATCTCCATGGTAAGCAATTACAATCAGGCTGAGCAGTGTGGCCGCGGTCTCTGAGCAGGCGTTAGGGTCAGCAGTAGTCACTGGCCTTGTGTGTATATATACATACATACATACATACATACGTCTTAAAAGTGACTAGGAGGAGAAAACGAGGGAGTAAAACGGTGTCTTAAGCAAAGATGTCAGAGAAAGGTCTCTTCGCGGGAACTGAAGGGTAAACAGACCTTGCCTGGGCTCTAGTTCCTCTTGGAAGCTGTGAGTGTAATAATTTTAATTTAAGGTCTTCATAGGAATACATGACTAGCAATTCTGAACCTGGTGCTGTAACATACTAGGGAATAACATTTTTGACTAGATACGTTGGACCTGGGCCGCTGGAGCCCTAAGGTCCGATTTTGGAACCCAAGGGAAGAAACGGTAACATTCACCCCGCACTTAAATGTTATGCCCTTGTGCCGGCACCTACACCGCCCCTTAAGCTCAGTTTAGGGTATCCCAGTACAGTTCAGTCGGTCAGTCCTGTCCGACTCTTTGCAACCCCATGAAATGCTGCACGCCAGGCCTCGATGTCCATCATCAACTCTCCGAGTCCACCCAAACCCATGTCCACTGAGTCAGTGATGCCATCCAACCAACTCACCCCCTGCTGTCCCTTTCTCCTGTGTCCCAAGAGCTCCTGAAAACCCTTCCTGAAAACGCTACCAAAAAAAAGCTGCCTAAAAATCCCTTCCTGATAATGCTGCCAGGGAGGGTAGCGGAGAAAAGCCATTTGTTACCAATTCCGATTCTCCAGGTGGCTCCGCTGGCAACTCCACGTGAACAGAAGCCAAACCCAACACCGCACTCTTTTTGCTCTTCCTCCCCCGCCGAATACCTAACGATAGTCGCTGCAGCCTCAGCTTTCCCTGGTCTCTCTGCTGTCCCTTTCGCGGATACACGATTTTACCTCAAACGCCGAGACAAAATGGCGATGGCTACGCTTGTCGTCGAAAGCTTTTCCTGACTCTCTGTCACGCCCACTAGGGAATACGACTGACGTCATGAAGTATGCCGGAGGAAATGGGAAGACAGCTCCCTCTAGTGGCTACAATCACTAGTGTTACTAGCTCAGTCTTTTCCTACCAGGGATTGTAAGCGCACAGGCTACTCTGGCCATGTAATTCTCCAGGAAATAACTTTGGAGTGGCTTGCCATTTTAAAACCCATACAAAGTAAAAAGTAAAATACAGTAGTTACATCGTTTTTGTGGACTGCCTTCATAACTCAGTGGTAAAGTGTTGGCCTATCAAAACAAGAAATAGAGAACCTTCAGGAGCCCGTGAGTTCGATCCGGTGTATTTGGGTGGAAAAAGAAAATTTAAAGAAGTAGGATTTCCCATAGCTGTTTCCGCCCCGCCCCCCCCCCCCCCAACAGCACATACTTTCAGCTCTGTTCACTCCCTCAGTCGTATCAGACTCTGTGAGACCCTATGGACTGCAGCATGCCAGGCTTCCCTGTCTTTCAGCAACTCGCCCAGCTCTGGCAAACTCAGGGCCATTGAATCAGTAATGCTATCCAACCATCTCATCCTCTGTCCTCTAGTTCTCCTCTTGCCTTCAATCTATCCCAACATCAGGGTCTTTTCCAATGAGGCAGTTCTTAAATCAGGTGGCCAAAGTATTGGAGATTAAGCTTCAATATCAGTTCTTTGAATGAAAATTCAGGACTGATTTCCTTCAGGATTGACTTGTTTGAGCTCCTTGCAGTCCATGGAACTCCCAGGAGTCTTCTCCAATACCACAATTTAAAAGCACCAATTCTTTGATTCTCAGATTTCTCGATGGTCTAGTGCTCACACCCATTCATGACTACTGGAGAAACCATAGTTTTTACTATACCTTCATTCTCAAATAATGTCTCTTTTTAATATGCTTTTGCATCCCTGTGTCCACTGCTGATTTTCCAAATATTCTGGCATATTGAGCGCAGTACTTTAGCATCATATTCAGGATTTGAAAGAGCTCAAGTGGAATTCCATCACCTCCATTAGCTTTGTTCATAATGATGCTCTCTAAGGCCCACTTGACTTCACATTCCAGGATGTCTGTTTCTAGGTGAGTGATCACACCTTTGTGGTTATCTGGGTCATTAAGATGTTTTTTGTATAGTTCTTCCGTGTATTCTTGCCATCTCTTCATAATATCTTCTGATTCTCTTAGGTTCAAACATTTTCTGTCTTTCACTGTGCCCAATTTTGCATGAAATGTTCCCTTGGTGTCTCTAGTTTTCCTGAAGAGATCTGGAAAGAGATGTCCCATAGGAAAGACCTGGCCCATGGATCGCTGGCACGCCAGTGGCATCAGGGCACTGAGTGGAAAGTTGCAACTGAAGGTCATCCAACAGACCCAACACATGGTGACTACTAGTCCACACTACCCACAGTGCTTCTCCATAAAAGTCTGTTCCCACAAGGACAATGAGCTTCACAGCACTTTCCTTGAATTTGATCTGGGGTGTGAGTGAAGCCATTTCCTGAGTTGCCTTCTTGATCTTCTGCTGTGTATTGGATTCTTTATCATGACCATGCCTAGGAAAGTTTTGAAGGCAGTAGTGTTCTCTCCAGGGGGCAGAGTAGAAGGACCTATGCTCATCTTCTCCTGTGAGAACTCCAAAATAACAACTCTGCTGAATAGCCATCAAGAAGATAATGTTGGATCCCACCAAAAAGAGAAAAGAAAAAAGATAACACATCCAAGGGCAAATGCCACGCCCCAACAAGTTGGTAGGAGGGACAGAATTGCATTTAGAATCAAACCCCATATTTACCAGAGATGCTTTGAGGGCTCACACAAACTTTGTGTGCACCAAAAGCCAGAGACCCCACAGAGAATGAGCCAGTCCTGACTGAGTGTTTGAGGACCTCTTTATAGACTTGGGTCAGCAGTGGCCTGCTGAGAGGTCAGGGGTTTTGGGTGCAGCAGACATGGGTCACAAAACATGTAGCATAAGCCCTCTTGGAGGAGGTCTCGATTAGCCCCCATTGAGCCACTGAGCAGATGACCCACAAACTGCAGAACAAGTATACAAAAGAAATAATTGCACTGTTAGGAAAGTTCTAGGACCCATAACAGATTCCCTTACCTGGAGATCTGAGAAAGGGACTGATAATCCCTTTGAGTTTGGAGGCCAGTGGGATTTGATTACAGATCTTCCAAAGGACTGGGGAAATAGACTCTTGGAGGGCACACACAAAGCATTGTATGAACCAGGAGCCAGGATAAAGGAACAGTGTCCCCACAAGAGACTGAGCCATATTTCCCTGTGTATGTCCTGGAGTCTCTGGTTGAGACATGAGTCAACAGTGCCCTACTGAATGGTCAGGGGCACTGAATAAAAGACTACCTGCACAATTCCTTTTGAAGGAGGATGTTATCTTCATTACCCCTACAATAGTTTGTCTTCAGTGTAAAGAATGGGGATGGAACACAGCACCACCCATCAACAGAAAATTGGATTAAAGGTTTACTGAGCAAGAGCCACCCATCAGGACAAGACCCAGATTCCCCCAAAGTCAGTCTCTCCCATCAAGAAGCTTCCATAAACCTTTTATCCTGCTCCATCTCAGGACAGACAGAATTAAAACTACAATCACAGCAAACTGACCAAACTGATCATATGGACCACAGCCTTGTCTAAGTCAATGAAACTATGAGTCATGCTGTGTAGGCCCACCCAAGGCAGCCGGGTCTTAGTGGAGCATTCTGGCAAAATGTGGCCCACTGGAGAAGAGAATGGCAAACAACTTCAGTATCCTTGAC